ATCCCCGACGAAGGATATCTAACCCAATCTGCATATTCTAGTGTGTTTTGGAATATCCTGAATCGCATGAATACTCACGCCCAATCATCAGATAATTTATATAGACGACAACAGCGAGAGACAGAGAGAGAAAAAATAAAATCCGTTTATCTGGATGTCACCAGCTGATCGAAGTGCAGCAAGAGTTAGCCAGTAAATGAACCGGATATTTGGCCAGTTAAAGAACCAGGTGTTGGATATGTTGTCAAAATGTCCATCAAAATCGGTAGACAAAGACAAACATATTAACCTGAAACGGAAGATATTAACTCATTTAACATCTCCGTGGACACGACCCGTGAGTGAAGACAGTTATAAACGTATAATCAGGACTCAATTATAGCACAATATAACCAAGTCGGGAAAACAGAGGGAAGATAGAGTGAATAGCAAAGAGTAGATTTAATGTGTGTGGCGAATGAGACGAGTAAGATAACAGGTGCTGACTCATTGATCCAATTCACAGGAACAGCTAACTCGTCTTCTCAATACACAGGAACAGGCTCTCAACACTTCCATAAATCTGATCTCTTTTGAGAGAAAAGAGAGAGAAAGAGAGAAAGAGAGAGAGAGAGAGAGAGAGAGAGAGAGAGAGAGAGAGAGAGAGAGAGAGAGAGAGAGAGAGAGAGAGAGAGAGAGAGAGAGAGAGAGAGAGAAAAGCAGCCCAGTTTGGCATGTTTAAATTTTCTCCACAGATCTCTGAACGAACCCAATATATAATAGCACGTTCGCGAATTGCCAGTAACGGGAGAGGAAAAATGAATCTGAAGTTCACTATAACAGCTTCTTAAAGGCTAGCTGTTGCATCTTCTTCCAAAGATCAATGCCTCATCTACCCCTTCTCCTTCATCTACATGAAAAGCAAGAGTACAATGCCTCTCCGGCACCCACTACAACAATCGTCCCATCAGACCCTTAGATCATTCCCTAAAGGAGTCACAAGGTTGCCCTAGACGCTATGTATTCACTTCTCTCTCGTCGCTCTTCCCAAGTTACTTTGAGCCTGCTTGATCCTGTGTCAAGAAGAGAACATAGAAAGATCCTGTTATCTCGCCAGGGACAAGGGGGGTAGAGAAAAGTTATCCTGGCCGTGACTGGCCAGGATAACCTTTCCTGGTCAGGTTATCCGGCCGACTGATAACTGATGACTGAGGCCATGACCCCGCCACGGCCTCAATCATCGTCATAGGCTTCACATGAAGGTTTATTTCGACTACTTCCAGAGAGGGAAGAAGTGTTTGCTTTAAAGAGCGTCCCAGCTGGTGACAGGTTCGCTGTCTGGAAGGTGAGATCCGTCGGCCAGACAGCAAGGGACGGCAGACAGACGGGTAAGGTATAGTGCTGAAGCATGCCAGATAGACAGACACAACTGGCCGTTTCCCATCTGGGCCCCAAACCAATCGTTTTGTTTTGATCGATCGTTTCTAAGATCGCTAAGGTTGTCCTGTGCCTCATCTTCGAGCGCCCTTCTCCTCAGATGCTACACCTGCAGCAGTAGCCGCTCTGACCGCCCTCCTAAACACAGACACCGTCAGTAAAAGTGGGAACGGTAACAACACAAGAGACAAGAACCGCATTCTCCTGTAAACATACAAGTTGGAGGGAAAAGAGAACCGAGGATCTCCAATGGTCCGTCCGGATTGGAGAACATTTTGCCAGTCAAACACAAGCCCCTTTTTTTGTCAAGTATCTACGTAATAATAAAGCCAATCACAATCCTGTTTGCTTTAGGAGGAGGAGAACTAAGTGTCATTGGTTGAGACTGAAGCAGGTTAAGACTCGGCTAGCTAAACCTGCTATGATTCGGATGAGATAAATGCTGGCCTGCCTTTGGTCAACATATTGCACGGTGAATGATTTTCAGGAATAAAATAATTTTAGGGGCAGCCAGTGGACAAGCTGGCGTGTGAATGGTGGATAATGTAAGAGCAGCTAAGAAGAACCTGGCTGTGATTGGTAGATGACTTACATATCAATAAGTCAATAGGGAATAGGGAATGTCTGGGCGTGATTGGCTGACGAGTACCAAATGCTTGCCCAATGGGAGTTCTGTTACACTCGCTGCTGCCGGGGGGGGGGGGGTACATAAGGCCATATATACGTGAGTGTTTTTATATCTCTCTGGCAGTCAACACTCGAACATCATACAGGTCCGCTGTTGTGCAGCAACAAGTGATCAAAAGAGCTCCTTTCTTCTGTTATTTTTTAGATTGTTTAGCTAATCTATGTGCAGGCACGGAACTACGATCCTAGGAAGACATTTTGACATAGCAACACCAGTTTTATAAAACATATTCCGAGCTAATAAAGCGAAGCCTTGTGTTTCTGAGCTAACACTGCCTTTATTCCCGGTCCACACGTACTTAAAGCAAACGCATCATACTAGGAAGCGTGGGAGCTTCGGCCTCACACACATGAGGCTCGTGGTTCGAGTCTCCTACAGCCCAGGTGAATGAAATGGGAAGGCATAATACTAGGCTTTTCCCGCCTATTACATAGCCAGTGGATATTGGTCCCAAACTGGCAGCAAATATTCTCTGATAAGCATTCTGATTGGTGAATTTTCAGAGACGTCATAATATTATGACCTCAACAACAACAAAATATTAATTTTCGTATTATAAAACAATTTCCCAAACTGAAGGGAATGATTGGCTGGATAGATTCATTGACTTTTGCTCGAAATTAAGAGCGCTTCTAGTAAGAAAATATTTGTAACGAAAACTTGCAGTAAATACAGCGGGGAGCATGAGTTAGGTCACGCTGCTCCTCATCCAAAAGGAGCAGTTTGGGTTGTGATATGTGTGGTCACGTTGTGGAAATTTAGCCAGACAGAATGTTGCGCACTAGAACTGGGTAAATCAACCTATTATAGGCAGAGTTTAAAGGGGACACAATGAAAAAGGTTGCCTACCATGCTGCTTCTCTCTCTCTCTTTTTTAATCCAACCCCGCAACAAAATTAAGACGTCTATTACAATACATTGCAAGGGGCAGGCAGTGGGCCATGCGCCCTTGGGCACCGTGTACCCATGGGTAGCGTGTACCCGTGGGCACCGTGCGCCCTTGGGTACCGTGTACCCGTGGGTACCGTGTACAGGATCGGGCAGTGAGATGCTCCACCGAACAAGGTGTTTGGGGGCAGTTGGAGATCCATGCACTATTAGGTACCACACATGGGAGCAGGTGGTTACCCTTGCACCACTGAGTACCATGTACAGGATAAAGTGGCGACCCATTCACCACTGAATACCATGTACGGGGGCGCAGTTGAGGCTCTAGGCACAGGAAGTGGAGCGTTACCTGATTTTACCCCGTATCCTAGGGTAGCTGGAGTATGCGGGGGTGGCCAGGTCTTGGTGGTTCCACATGTACCCAGGGTACGGTGCAGGCGTGCCCGGAAGGAAGTGCTTCCCGTAGAAGCCGTAAGCACTTGTGGGCGTGGGCGTGACGGTGGAAGGCCCCGGCGGAGGGTACGGCCCGCAGGAGAAGATGGGCGGCCGCTGATTTAAATAAGCCTCAGGATCCCCGCCATCTTGCTGCGCCCTCTCCATCCCTTCATAAAACTCCCAAAGGCGCTCGGTCAGGACGGTGAGGATCGTTCCCCCGTGGTTCATTTCTATCAGCCGGAGAACCAAGCACCCATCCCAACCTAGGTACTGCACCGCCATCTTGCGGGCGTTGTTGTATAGGTCCTCCTTACCCACCCGCCTCGTCCGCCACAGGTAGTAGTGGACGAAGGCGATCCGAGAGCAAGTGAAGGTGCGCCAGACCCAGATCAGAGCACTGTAGATGGTCACGGGCAAGAGAATGGCAAAGAAAAACCAGATGAAGGAGAAGATCTTCTCATTGAAGAGATTGATAGGCAGGACACACTGGCAAGTGTAAGTCCGCAGAGAGCCCTGCTGGGCGGCCAAGACCTGACACAGCGTCTGTAAGGGGAAACGGGGAGACGTCCACCATTCCTTCTTGTTGATGAGCTTCTCCACCACTTCGATGCCGTGGAAGAGATAGCCCTTGCCCAGGAAGACCGTCAGCAGGAAGTACTGCATCAGGATGTTGAACACGTACATGATCTTAACGACCATGTAGAGCACGAAGAGCGAGGAGGACGGGTTCCCGCCGCAAGCCAGATTGCAATCAAACTTACAGACGGTTCCTGGACAACACTTTGAGACGCCCATCAGCGTGTTAAACTGGTCCAGGAACTCGGCAATAAGGGCGTCGCGGTCTGGGTGGCCGGGTGTGTACTGAGAGATCACCGACACCTTCTTCAGCAGGCGACCGACTTTAATGCCAGAATTTTTAGCCGTCGAATTCCAGATGGCAAAAGGGACATAGAATAATCCCGCCTCGACCAAGAGGATGATTGGCGCCCACTGGTAATAGTTGACCTTAATACGCTCCCCCTTGATGGCTGTCGACCCCCCTTCGTCATCAAAATTAACGGAATGTACTCTGGTAACCTGTTCCCGCGCGTTCTCATCGACGGGGATGATGTAGTATGTACTCGCTGTCCAGCAGTACGAGTTGACGTATCTGGCCTGAGGCTCGGTGAAGTAGGTCGGGGTGAAGCACTCGATGGGGTCGCCAGCGAACTGCTTCGTCACTAAAGGCAACGACAGGCAGATGAGGATGAGGATGGTGTACTTGCGGTTGAGCTTGTCCACCCCGTCGTCGATGGGGACGTTGCCACCGATGAGGTAGTTACTGAAGTGTAGCAAGAACGACATTGTCATTCAAGCGTGAGCCCACGGCAAGTGGTGGAGGGGCGGGCGGACGGACGCACGACCCCGGAGTGCGTCGATAGCGAAGAAAACAGACAGATCCTCTCCTGCGACGGCTGACGCAGTGCTGACTTCAGCACACCGGGCGACGGAACGCCCAACTCCTCTGAAGAGTCTGGTGAAGAAGCGACTCCCTTAAGCAGTTAGTCTCTAGATCAAACAATTTCTGCCTCCGTCAGCGTCCCTGGCACCTACAACACAACACAACACGACGACAGATCAACACCAGCCAGACAACATCTCCGCAGAGCTGGAGACAAAACTCGGTCAAGAGAACTCTTATACCTCGACTTACGACGTTAATCCAGCGAAGATCGCTGATATCAGGAAGCAACGTCTTGTGTGTGTAGATGACCACCAATAACAACCCAAAATCACTAACCAAACTAATTTCAAATTCACGCAAAATCTTAACTTTAAACCCAACTCTTCAGTAACATTTCAGCGGTAATATTTCTTAAATAATATATATCAGGAGAAAGAGTAAACTAAAATAAAGTATAGATATAACAAATAACAATATAAATATTATGACGACTCATCTGAACGGAACGCATGTTAAGTAGAAAATTCACATGAATCAAATATTTACCAGAAATGCATTTAGTAGTACATAGTGTCATGTCTGGTAGAGTGGAGTACACAGTCTGACAGAACAAGGTACAAAGTCTGGTAGAACAAGGTACAAAATCTGGTACTAAATCAAGAGGTGCAATTAGTCATGAGAAGAGTGAGTCCTGTATGGATAGATAAACTGCGCTCTGGTGCCGACGACAGCAGACTGAAGCAGCTTTAGCCGTGTCTCAGCGGAATGGAGTTGCCTGGTAGATTAAAGTAGGATCCGGCAGGCTGAGGTAGACTCGGGTAGATTGTAGTAAACCAGTGTTCGTCCTGCTTGTTGTAGCATGCAGAAGCGCCGCAATCTGGGGAACCAGGAAATACGACATATAAGACAATAATCATATTGAAATATTTCGATAATAATTAAGAAATTATTATTAACATTAACTAATACGACACAAACATCACATAGCTCAAGTGAGACACAATATTAATTTTGTATCAGTAAAAACTAGATTAAATACTTAGTAATATATTTTTAAAGAATTTAGTCGTCCTAAATACAGGTATGGGTTTAAATTAGGAATTATTTTTAAGAATTGATTATACTCTTGATATGGTGGTGTTAGGCCTGGTGTTAAGGCCTATCTCTATAAATGGGAACATTAAAAGATTATAAATTTGTAAACATTTTAATTTCAAGCATTATTACTGTGGAAAGAAATGGGATTGGGATTATAATGATATTGAACTGGAGCATAATGGATCGTGCGGGTAGCTCACAATTAACTGGAGTTCGATTCCCGGGCAGTACTGAGACGACTGGGCACCTTTCGTTACACCTAATGCCACTGCTCACCTAGCTGGAAATAAGTACCTGGGAGTCAATCAACTGTTTTAGGTCGTATCCTGGAGGAAGATCAGACGCTGAATGAATAAAGATTAGGAAGCTTTGAAGGGCCTGAAATAGGGCCTGCACCACGCAGTTTGACAGGCGTGGTGCCTGAAATATTACATATTACAGACTATCTGTAATAGTAGTAGGCATTCTGCAGTCTTGGAAGACTATGGAGTTGCGCTCTGGTTGTCGAGGCGGGAGTGGCCTCTCCAGGGCGCTAAGCCTGGGTAGGTTGATATGGAGGAGATGCTGTTACCCATGCAGCAGGTCCTCCCTCTCTCAACGATGCTGAAATTGTCCAATGGAAAGTCAAACGCCAATATGCTTGGTTCCAGCGCCGTCGCAGGAGCTGCCAGAACGAGGATGAAGTTAACAAAGAACTGCCTTAGGGGTTCCCCAACTAAAGGCAGTTGAAGCTCCAATAACCGGCTGTCATAAATGTATTCATTCCATACACCGTTGTATGAGGCACTCATACATTTTTGCAATCTCGTTCTCAAGGCCCAATGTATGTTTCCAAATGTTCTAAGTTGACAGGAACCTGACATTAGTTTTTCTCATGCATGATGCATGGACCAACACTCCTTGATGGCGACCCCACCGAACACCTTCTTAAGTGGTGTTATAGCGATATCTTCCGGAGGAAATATTCTGGATCCCCTCTGCAGGCTTATCGATCCCCCCCCCCCTCCCCCCTTAGTGTAGGATTATGACGTAATGTTCTGACGTCATGGCCGCCATTATCACACCACCAGTGACGTCATAAATATTGATTTACAACACACTGATATTTTCGCGTTATAACGAGGACAGTCAAGTGTGAATTGTCAGGACATGGGTCTCTTATATTTACATATTTACATAAAAGAGCAACGTTATATTTGCGCTTTAATAACGTAAGCTTTGTGATCTCAATCTCCGTGACGTTGCGAAGTGAACGTAAACTGAATGATAATAAAATATTGATATTTTCTTACTTTTTAGGAGCTCAGAGTAACTGAACTCGGGGAAAACACCAAGAGATGCTTCACACAGACCGACCAACGTCGCCAGTGACGCAGAGATACGTGCACTCATCGACGTGCATCGCTAGAGAGGCAAAAGCCAGCGCACGTACTAAACGTACAGAGACGCAGATACAAACGCGCGCAACGACGTACACAGTGACAATATCAGTGACAAACAAGTCATGTCAGCATCATGTCATTTTGTCAAGGTTGTCAAGGTTGACATGCTAAAGACGAAACTACGAAGAGATGAGAGAGAGAGAGAGAGAGAGAGAGAGAGAGAGAGAGAGAGAGAGAGAGAGAGAGAGAGAGAGAGAGAGAGAGAGAGAGAGAGAGAGAGAGAGAGAGAGAGAGTCCCCCATAAGAATATCGTGAAATATATTATTCAGAGACCGACCAGATATGACGATCTACTTCGCCTGAACTTATAAGAAGGCAACAAACGAGTTTGTCACTAAAAGGAGAACAGTGAAAGGGACAGGAGGAAACTTTGTGGTTTAAACGAAGAACGTAAGGAAGAAAAGCATTGACGTTCTTGTGAAAATCTACATCAACAACAAAATGGCAGTTCTTCATGCTGCCTGTGGAGGTTATCTTGAGGTTATCTTGAGAGGATTTCGGGGGCTTAGCGTCCCCGCGGCCCGGTCCTCGACCAGGCCTCCTTTTTGTTACAAACCTCCAGGAAGCAGCCCGTAGCAGCTGTCTAACTCCCAGGTACCTATTTACTGCTAGGTAACAGGGGGAGCAAGGTGAAAGAAGCTCTGCCCATTTGTTTCCGCCTCCACCGGGGATCGAACACGGAACCTCAGGACAACGAATCCGAAGCGCTGTCCACTCAGCTGTCAGGCCCCTTAGCTGGAGGTCTATGGCTCTTGGAGAAAATGTAATTTTGACAACTGTCTAATAATATTAAGCACTTATAGGTAAGTAGCCGGGGAGCCGGCTGGCCGAGCGGACAGCACGCGGTACTTGTGATCCTGTGGTCCTGGGTTCGATCCCCGGCGCCGGAAGAAACAATGGGCAGAGCTTCTTTCACCCTATGCCCCTGTTACCTAGCAGTAAACTAGGTACCTGGGTGTTAGTCAGCTGTCACGGGCTGCTTCCTGGGGGTGGAGGCCTGGTCGAGGACCGGGCCGCGGGGACACTAAAAAAACCCCGAAATCATCTCAAGATAACCTCAAGAAGTACTGATGAGAAATTATTAATAAGTAAGCACCAATATTTAAGAACTGATTTAAATGGCCGATTATCCCAGTTATTGCTATTCGGCCATCGTTCCCTTATCCGGCCATGGTTTTCTCATCCAATCATATCCACCTGGCAATCAACAAGTCATCCGATCATCTCACACTCACTCGTCCGGCCTACACCCGCTTATCCGGCCATGACTACCCCCCATCCGGCCATCACTCAACAGACCAGCATTTGTTCACTTATCCGGCCATCACCCACTCATCTGGCTATTGCACACCCAACTCATACGGCTCAGGACTCAGAAGGGGATGATTGCACGCCCATCAGAAGAGAAATTAAAGGCTCGCGTGGGATAAGAAGGAGTAGCATAGAAGGAGAAGGAGGAGGACAAGGAAGAGGGGGGGGAGAAATACGAGATGGAGAAGGAGAAATTGGAGGAAAATAAGTGGATATGGAGGAAGATGATGATAAATAATAGTAGAAAGGGAAATATGAGGAAGATATGTATGAGACAAGTAAGAGGAGGAGGTATTCGCCTCATTGATATCATTAGTGTCACTTTTATTAAATTTTCGTCACTACTATTACAGCGGTTTTTACACTATTACAGCTGTTTTACTAACGTTACAGCTGCACAGGTCCTGTTACAGTCGTGTTGTTACTGTGTAAACAAGTGATACAAATTGTGTTGATAAAAGTACAGCTATTTTGTGTGTGTATGTGAGGAGGTCGGTGGACTAGGAGGGTTGAGGGGGGGGGGGTTGAGTACTTTCACTGGTCTATCACAACGGGCGTGACCATAAACGATCATTATGTCTCAGCGTGGTGTCCCTCTATCGTATTGGGTTGGGGAGGGAGGGAGATACACATTTACTAAAGTCACCCATAAAATTCCTAAAGTTTTCTCTAAAACCACATTTTCAACTTGATCATTTTCTTCTTATGTAACTGGCCTGGAGAAGTTTGAGAGAATGTCAGCCAATTTAGTGCTATACTCTTTTATCTATAGACACACTTGATATATATATGTACGGCATAAAGATCCTTTACTTCCTTCCGGTGAAAAATTCCTTGCATATTTAATGAGCCGAAATTCATGAATTATCGGAAAAGTCATAAGTGGCAACTCACGCGAGACAACTGCCACTCACAGACTATGAATTGACGCCACAACCGACCGGATTTTTTTATCTTTTTTTGCGGGAACTGTTTTTGTTTTTGCGGGAACTGTGTGGTGTAAACAAATTTTGGCGGGAACTGTGCTTTTGTTTATGGCGGGAACTGCAGCCACACCTAAATTTGCCTACATCTTTATTTCATATTAGTTATTGTTTTATTAGGCCGTATTTTTTGCCCTTATGAACGGTATAGTGACAGTTATTTTCTGATATGGAAAGAGTTTTTGGCTCAATCGTATAGTGGCCTCTTTTCATCATATTTGTTACCTATTAAAATACATTATTTTCAGTACTAATATATATATAATATACACTGGACATATATGTATGCATGCAT